AGAAGCAAGAATAAATAATATACATAAAGGAATTGAGTTTAAGATAGAAGAAGAAGACATCGTCAGTAATAGTATAAATTATTTGGACATAGTTATTAAAAGGAATGTGAATAGCTTGGAATTTGAACCCTTCAAAAAGTCTTGTGCCATTAACACAACTATAAAATACGATTCTCATATACCACTACATATAAAACAAAACATCTTCAATATGGAATATAATAAAATTAAAAATAGAACCAGCAAACCCATCAATATGGCCAAACACATATATGATTTAAAAAAGAAATTTATCTTGGATGGATACCCCAATCGATTAATTAGTACATGGGAAAAGAAAATAAATGATAAAATAAATAACAAGAAACATAATCAGAAAAAACAAAGCTCGGATATTAAATATATTAGTTTTCCGTATATAAAAGGTTTATATGAAGAAATTAACAAAGAAATGCAGAAAATAAACATAAAACTAGCACCTAAGTACGAAAAACTTCAAGCCAGAATAAAAGCCAAAAAACAAAATAATGAGACTAAAGAAGAAACCAAGAATGTAGTATATGAAATCCCATGTACTTGTAAAGATACCAATATTTATATAGGTGAAACCAAACGAAAATTAAGCATAAGATTAAAAGAACACATCGCTGATATGAAATATCATAGATTAAATTCAGTTTTTCATGATCATTGCCTATTAAACAACTGTAACATTGATAAAACTAATACAAAAATCTTATACAAAGAAAAGAACACATATAGTAGAAAATTTAAAGAAAGTGTAGCTATAATAAACTCTAAAAATTGTTTAAACAAGAATCTAAGCATTAAAATAAGTAACGATTGGCTAAAAATATTGTAATAATGAAAGATAGTTAGTATGTTTTAGAAAAATTCTAAAAATTTTTGTAAAAATATTTAATGTGTTCTGTTTACTTAGATACCTTTTGCTATTACAAATATTATGTAAAATCCGACCATCATGAATGGCAAAATGCAAATTAGCAATAAGACTCAATATTGTATAATGCCCAGGAAACAAAATTGTTAGAATATGCTAAGTGAGGTTTATCTATCTGATTCTGTTATGTGCAAATGAAATGTAGTGTGAAACCAACAAATATATTCATTAAACATTAGAAAGGATTCTGCCTATATATTCATCAACTTTAGTAAGAAGATAAAGGATGTGTCACGGCTACTTAACAGTAAGAAACAATTGTACACAAAAATTAGTATTGTTATGTGCGTTATCAGTATAAGCGTGTATAATTATACAGTGTTTTATTTTTTTAATTTAATGTATGTAGGTTTATGTTATCATTGTTATCAACTTATCCTAACAGCAGTAAATAATAACTTGTGCTGTACGTGTATCATCGAAAATTTTTTTAAATGGTATGTCTTAAATGTTATATGTTTTAGAATCGTTATATAAATTTTTTAAAGAATGTGATAATCTAATGTAAATGTTTCTTCTTATCAGTTGACTGATGAGGGGCTATACGCCCGAAACGTGTAAAAGTGCCCGTATCAACTGAATAAAGTGGATAAACGCCAAGTGTTTTAATAATAACACAGTCTTGTGTTCAATAGTAAATAAATACGAAAACACGGTTTCAAAAAACGAATAATTATCATTTCTCGTAGCCCTTTTGCTTTCAGTTAAATTTTACTCTAACAACCCATTATATGTTGCCATGATAGCAGCAAGTTCACTTTCCCCAGGTTTTTGTTTATACCTAGAAGTAATCTGCCCAAAGGTCTACCTCTTCCTAAGCTTTTAGTAGCCATCACCTCAAAATCTTTCAGTCTACTTGTTAATGCTTTTAACTCTCAAACACAATAGAGCTGTAGACCAAGTCTCAGTCAGTCCCAAATATCAGTTTTAAGATGACCAAGACAAAACCTTTCTCACTTGTTTCTAGTTATTTATACATGAGTACTCGTGTATAAACGGCTAGAAACAAGTGAGAAAGGTTACTCGTAAAGGAGTACTCGGGTATAAATGGCTACAAACAAGTGAGAAAGGTTTTGTCTTGGTCATCTTAAAATAGTTCTAGCTCCAAATGCATAGAAGTATCAGTTTTAGAAATATGTTTAACAAAACCACTATCATTCAGATTAGTTAGGAGGGTACCCTGGGGATTCCATGTTAAAACTTTCAATCCAACTGTACACTTCCTTGAATCAGAAAATGAAGATTTTGAGAATTTGCCATTCGATTTTCTACTAAAAAATCAAGTTTTAATAATTCTCCTCTATCTAGGTCTTAAGTATATCTCTCAGCACCAACCTGCAAAACATCAGTCATCAGTCGAACTCTCCTGCCTTCCAGCCTATAATCATGTAAAAAAAGGCACAAGTTTTTTCCATCTCAGTCTTGAATGCCAACATAAATCATCAAAAATTTGTATATTCTTCAATGCATCAGTAGCCTTTGTTTTTCTAATGTTACCGAAAATTAATTTCTTGTCTGCAAATGACTGTAACTCTACCAATACATTACCTGATTAGTTAAATTTCACTATCTTAACCATTGGAATTGATTTGATTCATCTATGTTTTGCACTTTTTCAAATCGGGACTGTCATCAGTCAGATCTTTAATTAAAATATTTTTCTTTATCATTTCATTTGACACCTTGTCTATAGAATGCAAGATCAACTGTTTTTCCGTTGCATGTCATCTTTAAGTTTAGAAATTTCTTCCAATTTAACCTCCAACTGGGTTAATCATTGTGTTCATTATGTAAATTAATCAACCAGTCAATCCTTGTATCAACCTCATCTAGAGTCAAAAGAAGCTTATCAAATCGGTCATCCAAATATGAGATAATTTCCCTAGGAATAGACTTACTTGAGTCTAATTTTGAAGAGAAAAAATCCTCCAGTCTCACTGACTTCATGGAAGGTTCACTCGTAGAACAATGTCGTTTTAATGTAGATGCCGATGATTGAATCTGTGAATGCGGCGGAGTACAATCAACAGGACCAGAATTTAATTCTATCCCACTTAATATTAACAACAACTCAAACAGCATTATCCAAAATTCGATATTTTCCATAATTTTAAAATTCAAAAGAATCTCACAAAAAAGTTCACCAACACTCTTCACAGCAAGCAGCACCCCCCATCATTATTATTAGCTTATCATTAGACACTGCTTTTCATTTAGGCTCGTTATGTGGATTTTTTTTAATTCCATCTATTTCCATTCTATCAAATTGTGCTTTTGTTGATAAAATTCATAGTTTTACTCCTCTCTTATAAGGGACTGACTGTCCAAAAATGATGTCCACACTGGATTTCATTAAATTTTACACAGTTTATGCATTTTATTATATTTATTTCAAAATTTTTTGTATGTTTCATTTCTACTTATGGTAGCTATCATTCATAAAGTGATGATGCGCAGGGCTGTTATGTTGGGTGTCTGAACAGAAGAAAGGGTTATAGAAACTTGAACGAATTGTAACAAAAGGGGAGAGTAAAAATTTCAAGAAAAATGCAAATGTAATTTAGGGTAGCCTTTAAGTGCTTAATTAGACTGCAGAAAATGGACTTGCACCATTTTTATAATCAGCGGTTATGTACTGTCATTTACCGATGAATTTTTAATTGATTAAAGCGTATGGTTATTTTAAAATACTAAGTGTGAATTGTTTATAAATAAAAAGTTCACACTAAATTATATGTATACTAGCTGTTACCCGCGACTTCGTCAGCGGAGGTTTTGCAAGCAAACCCCATTTACATCCAATATTTCAATAACCATAGTAATTGTTATATAACACCTACCGCTGAAGAGAATTGCCGAAAATCAAACGAACTATTTTCAATTTGATCAATTTTCTGAAACGTTTACAATCGTTCTATAATCGAACCAATACGCAATAACAAATTCGAATTTAAAACGGTTCGAACATTTTTAAAATCGAAATAGATAAAAATATTTATAACAATGTCTGAAATGTTATTAATTTAATACACCTAAGTACTCGATGAAAACTATATTCTCTCCCTCACCCCCCGCGGGGAAATTTCTAAAAATCCCTTCTTAGTGTACATTCTCATGGCATACCCTACTACAACGCAGATAAAAACAAAAAATCGCATCTAAAATAGCGCAGTAGAAGCCGTTCTTCCGGTTAAGCCTTAATGCTCTCCCTCACCCCCCCGCGTTGGAATTTCGAAAAATCCCTTCTTATTGTGCATTGCCATGGCATTCCCTACTAAAACGCAGATAAAAACAAAAAATCGCATCTAAAATAGCGCAGTAGAAGCCGTTTTTCCGGTTAAGACTTAATGCTCCCCCTCACCCCCCCGCGTTGGAATTTCGAAAAATCCTTTCTTAGTGTGCGTTTCCATGACGTACCCTAACTGTGTACCAAATTTCACCTCTTTAGGTTAAGCGGTTTGCTCTGGGCGATGATGAATCAGTGAATGAATGAGTGAGTCAGTCAGGACAAGCAATTTTATATATTTAGATTATGTGATTTCTCAATTTTTTTCCAAAAATGGATTTACACCACTTTCAAATTAAATGGTCCATTTCAAATAAGCAAAAATTTGTTAAAGAGTGCATCTTAGAAGTGAGAAATACAGTATATTTATTTCAGAACTACTTATTCTTAAAAGCTAAGTAATACATTTAATTTCCTGAATAAAAAGGAAGAAGAAACTTGTCTTTTGTGGTGCCTTTTAATTATAAATTATAGTATACTAAATATAAAAATAATAAATTCTGGCTAATATTTTCAGGAAATTAATCTTATTGAACAAAAGAATTCACATCTAAAGACAGAAGTTCTCTCTTCCTTTTTATTTATTAATTTTGGTGTAGTGACATCCTAAGCTTTTGTAATCATTTAATTTTATCTATCTATGGATGGACATTAAATATTAGAAATTATCAATTAAAATTTTGTGAATTTAACTTTATAATTTTATACATTTTATTATTTTCTATACAGTTTTTATATATTTCTATTTTTCAGCCTTCTTCTGTTCAGAGTAAAGAATTATCATTAGAAGCACTAGAATATGAAGTTATACCAAAAACTTATGTCTATACTTCAGAAAATACAGATGAATTTACAAAAAATCTTCTCTCGGTGTTAGGTAAAATCTGTCCGGAAAAAGGTCAAGATCAACAAAATTATAAATGTCATAATTGTGAATGTCCTCTTGGAATGATTTATGGTGAAGCCAAAATTTGTTCTTATGATGGCTACAATTATTGCTCGGAATGTCATGAAAATGATGTATATTATATTCCAGCTAAAATTATACATAATTGGGATTTTGAAATGTATCCAGTATCTAAACATGCTAAACGATTTTTACTTGAGATAGAAACACAACCTTTACTTGATTTGAAAACATTAAATCCTTCAATTTATTCCGTTATAGAAGAAATGTCACACTTGCAGATGTTACGTACACAGTTGGGATTTTTAAAATCGTATCTGTTTACTTGTCGGGAATCTATTGCCGAAGAACTCAGGCAGAAAATATGGCCCAGGGAGCATCTGTACGAGCATATTCATTTATATTCACTTGCAGATTTGCTTCAAGTTCCCAATAACAAATTGGCAAATACTTTGCAAAAATTAATAAGTTTTGCAAAGAAACACGTACTGAATTGTCAGTTATGTAAACTGAAAGGTTTCATATGTGAAATTTGCAATAATCCAAAAGTTATATATCCATTTGAGATTGACACAACATACCAATGTGAACACTGCTTGGCTGTCTATCACAGTTTGTGCATGAGTGTTTCGAAACCTTGTCCTAAGTGCGAACGTAAACAAAAAAGATTTGCCGCCAAAGATTTTACTTGGCTGGGAGAAGATGGTGATTAGACATGACTAATAAGTGACAAAGAATATTTTTCTTTAAAAAAAAAAAAAAAATATATAACAGAGTTCTGTTATCTTATGGAACTTTAATAGAACAACAATATGACAAAATTTCTTTTTTTGTTAAACAGTAAATATCAATTTACATCATCGGTACATCCAAGAATATTTAGACTTCCATTGCTTTTAAGATTTTATTATTTATGAATTTTAGATTATTGTTAAGGTAAATTAATCTATATAATATAAAAAGTGATCAATATATCAAAACGTACATAAGAATTACGTTAAATATAATATAATTATTGTTTATATTACTTGTCTTTTTTATATTTTTTTTATTTTTAAGCTATCTAAAATTATTTTATATTATAATCAATTAGCAGTACTTGATTTACATTAACATTTGAATAAATTAATATATTAAAACTTTAATTTATACAAAAAAAAATTCAAGCTTTGTTAAGTTAGTTTATTTATAAAACAGGTTTGTACGTATATTTAATTTTATTCAATTATTTTATATAAAAATTTGTTTTCTATAATAATGTTAAGAAATATATTTATTAATAAATTTAATATATACATACAAAAGAGTTTTCTAATGGTGCTATATACAAATCAGTATTATTGAAGCATTAACAGAAAGTGTTATTTGTTTAGAAATGAAACTTTAAAACTGTATTAATTGCATAAGCTTATTTCATATTTTAACTTTTTCTCTAGAGTATTATTTTGAAAATATAGTGTTATGCTGCTGTATAATGCTCAAATAGACATTAGAAAGAGACATTAAAATGTTTGTTTTTCCCCCATGTTGGAAAGGAGATAATGAAAGATGATTTTGGATAAATATATTTAATTAAAAAAGAAAACTAAGTCATTCAAATACATTAAAATATATTTTCTAATTTTTTAATATTACTGTGGTCAGACTGGCAAATCTTCATCTTACTGACATAATACTACATCAATCCTATATATTTAGATCTTGCTTATTGCCGTCAGTTTAAATATACGTAAATAAAGTTTTAATTTCGCTTATAGCAATGGATTTAGTGGCGCAGCTTGACCTATGTGGCCCTTGCGCCAAAAAACACCAACCAACCATAGTGACGGATTTATGTTGTTGCTAGAAAAGTTTGCATTAAAAATTTTTATTTAACAGTCTATACCTTAATTCAATTTTAGTTTGTAAATTAACTTAGATATTTTCTAGAACTTAGAAGCATTTATATATAGATCATTTGTGTGTAAACTATGAGTTATGATTTCCAAGAGATTGCAAGAAAAACTGTCAGTTGCCAGAAAAATTTTCAAAACTAAAATACGATAGAAAAATAAATGAATCATCCAAGTCTTAAGCTAAGCTTGTATTGGATAATTAAAACTACAGAAAATTAATATAGAATATTATGTCTATATAGTACCTTACATATATACAAGTATGGTTGCAAAGCTGAAACTTAAAGGAATTGACGGTTTACTTTGAAAAAATTAGAGTGCTCAAAGCAGGCGTACCGCCTGAATAATGGAATAAGACCTCGTCTCAATTTTGTTGGTTTTCGGAAAACAAGGAAATGATTAAGAGGGACAGATGGGGGCATTCGTATTGCGACACTAGAGGTGAAATTCTTGGACCGTCGCTGCGAAAGCATTTGCCAAGAATGTTTTCATTAATCAAGAACAAAAGTTAGAGGTTCGAAGGCGATCAGATACCGCCCTAGTTCTAACCATATACAAGTAATGTCGCTATATACAATTTTAGAAAACGTTGCTTAATGTTGTCAATATTTTCAGTGAAAGTTTTCTTAAACTCATCAGCATGATGAATCATATGTAGGGTTGCCATCTGTCTTCAATTTGGGAGGACAACCCATCATTGAACTGTATTGTCCTCTCATTCTTCTTTTATGAATAAATTCTTCCTTTTTCAATACAGTTTTAATTGTTTGTTTTCATTTCATTTTATTTTATTATCTCTGAAATGTTACTGGCAGATTTCGTTTCAATATTTTATTTTTTGTTTTGAAGTAATAGTTTTATCTTTATCATCCAATAGAGTAACAAAAAGAGAAAGACACTACTATTAATCAACAGGACCATCTAGAAGGTACGGGAGCCTAGACAAAATACATATTGGGGATCTTATAACAAAAATTCAGCAATGAGTTGCTTAATTTTCCCAGTAATATTTAAATAGTGAGTGTGTGGTGCCATCTCTTAATGATATTTTATTATTAAAAATTTTTTATATTTTAAATTATTATAAAATAGCAAAAAGCTTAATTTTGAATGTAGGATTGAGTTTTATAAAAAATTGTAAATGCTAATAATGAGTAAAATAGTCATTAAGGCCGATCCTACTCGAGATATGACATACAACCCCTTCTATTTCCTCATCCCCTCAACCTTTAACCACCAAAATTTAGCAGCCTTAATCCCCCTAATACACAAACCTGCAAAATTTCAGAAATTTTCAACAAAAGGCAGAAAAGTTATTCAGCTTCCAAGTGCCTCCCCGCACACATCCATACTTACAGAAAAAAAATCCATAAATTTTTTTTTGCATTTCTTGATGTTTCAAGGTCACCTGGGTCCAAAAATATGTTTTTTGACCAATCACCATACTTTGCATCTGTTATGAAGAAAGTAATTAAATTATTACTTTAAAGTAATGGACATGAACAAAAAACATTGTATAGGTTCTGCTTATTCCCTTGGGGACTAGGACAATTAGTTCCATTTGCACATCTGTAGGCACCCATGTTAATCAAAGTCAGACAAGCAAATGAAGTTTAGAGACTCAGTTAAGAAAACATTTGGTAATTATTCTAATATTGACTTTAAAACCCTATTTATTTTCTAATACTAATATATAAAGGAAGAATGTTTGTTTGCTGAAGGCAATCTCAGAATCTACTGAACTGATTGTTAAAATTCTTTCGCTATTGGAAAGCATATTCCTTTCAGATGAATATAAGCTATATTCTGTTTTCATATTAAAAAAGGAAAATGCATGAGAAAGATGTTTTTACTGTGACATTTGTCTTGCTTCATCCTTTATCTGCTCTGTTCAAGGTCAATCCCCTTTACCATCCGGTGGGCTGTTTTTAAACTTATTATTTTATCTATTTGATGTTGGTTTAGATTTCTGTAGTTTGGGTAGTTGTGTATATGCTTTGTTTATATTGTCTTGGTTGTTCATTTCTTATAATAATACATGTTATCAGATAGACACAACTATAAGGAGTGAATTTATTTCCCTTAGATGAAGTTAAACTTTTGTACATAGACTTGTATTTTGTGTGTTCATTGTTTTAGTATTAATTAATCTACCATACTGTTATTTAAAAAAATGAGAATTAGTATAGTTGGTATATATTTTGTGCATTCCAATAATCCTGATGGATCTCCCTTTTTCTTTTAAGTGCCTGCAGTTTCCTGTGAAAGTATCTTTTGCCTTAACAATAAACAATCACAGGGTCAAGTGTTCAAAATGGTAGGCATTGATTTAAGAAAATAATACTTTTCATATGGACAACTGTATGCAGGTCTTTTTAGGTCTGGAAGTGTGAGTAATCAGTATATTTTGTCAACACAAGTTAACAAAACATTAAATGTTGTCTTTGCAGATGCCTTGAAATAAAATTTTAAAAAAGTCATGTATTGGTGTAAATAAATGCATATAAAGAGAGAATGTTTGTTTCTTACTTCGAAGTAATCTCAGAATATACTGAACCAATTTTTTTATAATTCTTTCACCATCAGAATACTTTCAGATGTACCATACATAAACTACCTTAAAACTCAGACCCTGACTCCCTGCTGCTTTCATTTCCCCTACAAACTCTCAAACACATACTAATCTGGACATATTCCGCTAAGTTACTTTCTGGTACCTTATGGAAAACACAGATCCCTCACTCCTCCCTGATTTTATCCCCTATCCCCAAATTCCCAAATCTTTTGAGCAATTTAGACAAATTTTGCATAGTTACTCACTACAATCCTTCAAAAAATACTCACTACTACAGAGCTGAGCCTAGAGGTGTTTTCACCTGAGGCAGAAGAATAAATTTTCACCCCTATGTATAGTTTTTTTAAAAATAAGTATTAAATAAAAATAAATAAATAAATGATTTTGGGAACAAAATATACTTATTGATTATTAAATAAAAAAGATTGATTGTTAAAATTGCTGTGTTTGACAATTTTCCCGAGGAAGTAACAATCTTAAAAAAGTGTAGATAATTTTTAGTTTACTGAAGCCTCTTTCACCGGAAGCTACAGTAACGGGTAGTGTTAGGAGTATTTTCAATGCAACTTCTAAATTTGGATAGGAATAAACTAAACTATATTCATGAATTGTTTTTAAAAGATCTAAACTTTTAGCTGCTTTAAAGTTTGGAATTAACGTCATTGCTTGATTTATTTTTTTTTTTAACTGATTATTATTTATGATAATTTTACAGAATTTATATTGTTTAGATATTTAAGGAATAAAGCTTACTAGGGCACTATCATACGAGGAAACGAGTGTATCGAGCAAGAGCATCTGACACAAATCATTAGTGTGTTTATAGTATTTGACAAACATTGCAAGATATATTTGGCTTTTTATTTTTTACTTTTCAATTTATTTATTTTTATTTTTCACCAATTTGGCACCCTTTCCCATTGTTCAACTAAGGCAAATGCCTCGCTTGCATCACCCTTGTCCTGGCTCTGCTTACTTTAATACTCAGATCCTCAATCCTCTCCTCTGATTTCATCCTCCACAAATTGCCGAACCCTTTGATTTGTACCAAATTTTTCATAGTTACTCTCTGCTATCTTGCGGGAAACATATGCTACTTAATAACAAGGACAACTCGACCCTCTCCCTGAGTTCTGGGCAACACTGTGCTGGTGTTTTATAATCTATGGTTAATCGACAAATATTTATAACAAACTGCTTTGTTGTAAATGCCTTCCATTGTACAATGTCATTTTTTTTTTTTTGTACAAGAAAGTTGGCAACCCTAATTGTATATGACAGGGGTGGCGAACCTATGGCAC